TACACCAGCTTTCACCTCGGCGGTCGTCAACTTGAGGAGGGTTGAGGGTTTTAAGTTTGGGGTTTAGGGTTTTGCGGGCTTGGGGTTTAGGGTTTAGGGGTTTTGGGTTTGGGGTTGAGGGTTTAGGGTTCAGGGGATGCACCCACGTAGGCTTCATGCAGGTTGTTTGTAGCTTCTTGGTGGTACTTGCCTCTTTACTTATAGCCCTCCAAGTATTGCAAGAGATGGCGAATGTATCGTAAAGATCTCTGCAGAAAAACTCTCCAGGGCAACGACCCCTAGAGCTTTGACCCTCGCACTAACCGGTCTGTGCGCCTGTGGGCGCCGGCGCACTCTGCGGACGTGCAGGCTGCATGGCGAAGTCGGGTATTGTCCTGGCCAAGGTTAGCGTTTCAGGTCGAGGGTTTAACCCTAAACCCTAAACCCTGAACGGTTAAAAGGTTTGGGGCGTCAGGTTGCGATGCATAGATGGCAGCGGCACATCTTTGAGTCAAGCGGCGTTTCAAGCCTGGTCGGACCGACAATAGTGCCGTTTGTGGGGGCCAGAATGCAGCTTGTAGGTTAATGTAGGGGCCGTAATAATTAGAATAGGGTTCTGGGGTATATTATACTATAACTATAAATAAGGAACCACCCAAAATAGTGTAGGGGTATGATTTAGGCCCCTATATTAGGGTTCAGGGTTTCGGGTGTGGTGGACTCCAAATTTTCCATCACAGCACACCTTAAACTGCCTCCCCCCACTTTTCATGCAGGCTCTCATTATATACGCCCTACTGTGGCATTTATAGGGACCCTACAGAAAAGCAGGTCTTAGAAAGTAAGGTAGTTACAAGTACCGCAATTGGGGCTATGTTTCAATCTGAAGTATAGCTACCTTATTCATAACCCTACAGACTAAGTTCAATGATCCCTAAACCCTAAACCCTAAACCCTGAACCCTGAACCCTAAACCCTAAACCCTAAACCCTAAACCCTAAACCTAAAACCCTTAACCCTAAACCCTAAACCCTAAGCCCTAAGCCCTAAACCCTAAACCCTAAACCCCTAAACCTCTAAACCCGCCCCCACCCTTTTCATCTTCGGCGCCGGGCCTCTCCGAGTTGGGCGATCGGGCTATGAGCATGGCATGCCTCGCTGATTCGTCACCGGACCTGATGGAAGGGTTTTAGGGTTTAGGGTTTAGGGTTTAGGTTTTACGGCTTTTATCAGTTGGGGTCGGTTTACTTAGGGTTTAGGGTTTAGGACACAAGGCTTAGGGCTTCGGCGCTATAGGGTGTAGGAGCTATTCATATGCAAACTCTGAAGATATAGGATTCAAGGATCTGGCCTGAAGATCTAGGCGTCGGATGTCGTGCCGATGATACGATCCAGCAGAGTAGGGGGTGTTGACTTACCCACAGGCCTTACACTGAAACCCGAAAGCCGTCTTGAAATCCCGGAGACCCTGACCCTAAACCCTAAATCCCCAAACCCTGAATCCCTGAATCCCTTAATCCCTATACCCTAAATCCCTAAATCCCTAAACCCCTAAACCCCTAAACCCTGAACCCTAAATCCCTGGACCCTAAAGACTCAACCCTGAACCGTTACACTACTCAAAACCCTGATAAGCCCTAAACCCTAAACCCTAAACCCTAAACCAAGGCGCAATGACAAAGACCAGAACGCTGGCAGAAAGAACCCCGCGAGTCGAACTTGAAGCCGTAAGGAGCAAGAAAATGAGAGGGTTTGGGGTTTAGGGTTTAGGGTTTAGGGTTTGGGGTTTCGGGTTTAGGATGTAGGGTTTGGGGTGTTAAGAACCCTATTGGCAAGAAATGCATGTGACACCCAAGTACTGCGTTCTATGCGATCGGGGCTCTCATCAGAGCACAACACAGTAGAACTCTAAGTAACCCTAAACCCTAAACCCTGAACTCTAAACCCTTTCGATACTGGGATGCTGTGCTTACGGATCCCCAACTCAAGAACCCCTAGAAGCCCTCAAATCCATGCCGGGCGGACTCCCCACTTGCACTCAGCTCTCCTTCCGGATCCATGGTACGAACCATCGGGGACCTGCAAAGAAGCTGCCAGGCGAAGTTTTGTTCGGATACCAAAAAGAGGCTCCCCCTAAACCCTAAACCCTAAGCCCTTAAACCCTATGAGCCCTAAACCC